AATTGACAACTACTAACTTATAAAATATTAACCAAAATCGATCTATTCAACTCGCTTATGTAAGACATGCAATTTCAGACGGCTTTTGTTCAGTAAGTCAGTTTTCAACCAATCGAGATTATGCTTGTTGTTGCAATTTATCAATTTATTTCTGATGTTGTGGAAGAAATTAAATAATGGGCATACGTTCTAATAAATTTGTAATTTTTCTTTATGTTGATTAATTATTTCAAGTTCATATATAGCCATGCATTTCAGAAATACGAAGGTAAGAGTCAAACAAACTGTTTATCAAATGATATATGGTATTGACCATATTTATAAATAAAATGTCTAAGTTAGTAGCAGATAAGTTATTGTACATTTAAAATCGCTGTCTAATGCCTACCACTTGCCTTAACTTTTAGATTAACCAAAAATTGAAGACATAATCATAATAGAAAGTAGCATATCAAGGTTCTTTGTGCTAAGCAATAATATTTCTTAATTTAAATTTCTCTTTTGTCGGTCTTTTAAGCAAAAGTTCGTCTTAAGCCCAGATGGCAGAAAATTAAAATTTTCTAGTCCTTAAAATTAGCAGACAATTTCATGAGTGGTGTGTGCAATGGACTGGTAATTTCGTGGAAATGTTATTAGATCCCAAAAGAGGAAGTTTTATCTTACCATATCTTAATATTTTATCCAACCAAAACTTGAGGCCAGGGGGTGAGGGCGGGTTGGGAGGAGAATGGGATCGGTTCAAGAGATTAGCAGATTGAGAAAATGCAAAGGGAAGTCGAGGTCTTTGAGAAGTACACAACCTTAATTCTTTTGTGCTCGAATTGGATCATTGATTAACTTACGTGAGCATAAATAACCCCAGTCCTGTCGCATCACTCTTTAAATAGTATTTCTAATACATTTTCACGCAAGGCCTGGAGAAATCAACAATTAACTGTACTCCGTGGAAGCGAATACCGGGATGTAGTTTTTGTGGAGTTTTATCAATAATTATTAGTATAAACCTGGCCGGAAAAAAATATTAGGAATGAAATTTTGGCAAGGAAAATCTATTTATCAATGGAAGATATTATTGCCAGTTTAGTAGGTGAATTTACCAACACGTTTAAAACATAATTCTCGCCTCAAATCTCATTATAAGATCCCTTGAAATTTTCTCTCGAATTTGTGTTTGGCACTATTAAAAAGCGAAATAACTTTCTCGTCACACTTCCTATCACTTTTGAAATTGACAGCACTATGTTCAATACTTTGGCATGCAATTAAAAGGCAAGAGAGCAATGATGCAATGCTTTGCATATCAACTATTTTTAACTCAGTTAAATTATTTTACTCATCATCTAGCTTGAGATTTTGGGTCAGTTGCCTAAAATCGTATGCAAACCGTGCGGAGCATAAGGTTTTATCAAAGTTACTTTTCGGACAATATTTTAAATTTAACTGTTTTTAGGAAGCTTCCTCTCTTGGTGACTCAGTTTTTTCGGCTCAATAATACCACATACACGTTGCTTTTAAGACACGAGGTGCCCTC